TTTGATCTAGATGCCCACGGCGATGATGTGATGGCGTGACCACCGTCAGGAGACTTGTGATTTCCCGGCTGTAAAATTTTGCCGCCAGAATGTGTCTATGACTCTTGTCTATTTCCGGTAATAGGCAAAAAAGAATAAATAAAAAATAAATGTCAAAACTATTTTCAAGATTCAACTTGCAGTTTACTTTTATTAAAAATATATCCATATCTATTGATTTTTTTTTATTATGAAAATTCTGACGGATTTCCGTAAAACGGTGAAAACCGGTATGGATCTGCGCCTGAGTGGGCGGGTGACAAGGGTGATTAGCAACGAGCGTGATCGCTACGCCAGTCATTGACCATAAATGGGTACCGCTCATTTTGACTGACTGGAATGTTTCTCATAAAATCGGTCATAAAATCAGTCTCTCAATAAATTAAACTGAAAACAACAGATTCCCTGGTCTTACTTTGCTTTTATCACAAGAAATATGGGCCAAACCACAGCAACAAAATCTTTCTCCACTCACAAGACAGCAGAAAAGAACCATATTTCAAAATCGCCCTAAGATAAAATGGACAATCGTGGACAAAGTGTTGACACATTTGAGCAAAACAAACGCTTTCTATCAGCATCCTTCCGTAATTGAAAAAAGACACCTTTTTTTGTCAATAGCCAAACCCCCCTCTCCCCCTTTTCAATGTTGAAATACGCTCTGTGGACACTGTCATGTGGTTGCAGCATTGAAAAGGGGAGAGGGGGTCGAAATGTGAAAATTGGAGACTGAAAAACTCAGGCGTTCAACGAAACAGGTCTTTTTTGGGGAGTGTCTCAACTGCTTTTGTCCATGATTGTCTGAATTATATTTTACACGGTGTGAAGCTTTCTCAGCATCGTCACTGTTCCGTCTACTCAGTAGTACTTAGCATCATTGTTAGCAAACTATAAATCCTGTCACGCACCAGTAGAGTGCAGTTATTACGTCACACAGGGTAATTATTGGTGAGAATTATTTCACAAAATGGTGTTCGAGGAACCATTGATGCAGAAAGGTTAAATATGATTTGTTTTTTAGGTAATTCAGGGCGCAAAGGTCATTGTGAGAAAATACAATGTTTCCCATGCATCTCTTTAACGTATCCGTAAAAAGATAAAATCAAGTTCAAGAAGGGCTAAATTCGACATATACCCTGAATTTTTTATACTTGTTCCCAGTCTTTTCTTGGCTTACCTGTTAACACCTTCATTGCCCCTGTGAACGTCATCATAACAAGCCAAAGGCAATGTTAACACAAGCAGAAAAACAGGTATTGCTGCTGGGAACAATGAAATAAAAAGAAAAGAAACTGTCTTTTTATACTTCGAGTGAGGTTGCATGACTGTAAACCTGTTACTGTATACGCTCAATTTCAGTAGTGGAACTTTTTATCTGAACAAAAAAATTGGCATTTTGGTGACATTTTCAAACTTACTCTCATGGTTTACATTGTTTCGGAGTGTAATTCTGGACAGTTCACATGAACAAGACATTACATTTCAATGGTTCACAACGGTTCACATCCCCAATTAAAGAACATAATAGATACTCTTTATTTGAGTTATGTGAACCACTGTGAACCATTGTAAACTGTTGTGAATCATTGCAAAGCCACCTCAGGGCATATATTCTGCTAACAACCTGCGGAAAATCTGGTTTTTATGGGTGGCAACTGTTCCCGAGAACTGTCGCATTGTCAGCGATAGCTTGTGTCGTGCGAGACTTCTCCTGCTGAGTTCAATTACTGAGTTTGTTATCAGCAAAATCACTCAGATAAATTGTGCAAATCAAAATCTACACAGACATAAATTTGGGTCTTTACTTTGCTGTGTTACCCTACAAACACGATTAGTCGTTTTCTAACATGTGTGGACTCAATTTGTGCTTAGCGAGACCACTAAATATTGCAGCGTACTAAAGTGGCCACTAATGCACGGAGACTGGAAACAAGTCTGCAGAAAACTATTCTGCACTGCTCTTAAGCCTCCAAATTACAACTAGACGATTTTTAGTGCAATGTTTATGGTATTTCAGTATTTTCAACACATATATAGTACAATTTCTATTTTTGCTGAAAGGCAATTTCAGACAATCATGGACAAAAGTGTTGACACATTTTAGCAAAACAAAAGCTTTCTATCGGCGTCCTTCTGTAATCAAAAAAACATTTTTTGTCGATAGCCAAACCCCCCTCTCCTCTACAAAGTTGAAATACGCTCCATTGACACTGTTGCGTGGTTACAACATTAAAAAGGGGAGTGGGGGTCAAAATGTGAAAATTGGAGATTGAAAAACTCAAGCGTTCAACAAAACAGGTCTTTTTAGGGGAGTGTCTCAACTGCTTTTGTCTATGATTGTAGATTTAGCCAAGCCTAAAAGTGGAGCTCCAGAATTTTGATTTGAGTTTTGTAACTTTACGTTGAGGTTTTCTGTTTATACTGTTCAGCCTTCTGTTTTGAGTTGGCGTAATGTCAAACTACACAAAGCAAAAGCAGTGGTTAACTTTTAATCCTGGGTTAGTTCTGAACAACCCAGCGCTGATTACAACAAGTTAACCTGGCATGAGCCTGTGATCCAATCGAAAACCAACATTTGGTCAGTGGTAAACTTAAAAAAAAAACGTGACCTCAATGAGCTCTAAACTTGAGCCTGCAATATGGTCATGTGATACTGGTCAGTGGATACCTTGTTTTGACAGGTGTCAATTGACCATAGCATGGATGGCCAGGTCTAATATCTAACAGTGGAGCTCCAGTGACTGAAAGGCCGCCAAGCAGAACCCCATACTCATAGAAACCCGAGTATTGCTCGTGGGCCCATTCACCATTCACCAATGGCTACGACAATGACAATGACGTCACGTAACATGGCAGACATACCTCTGCTAATAGGACATGGGGCCCTAAGCATACACCTTTAATATTGGACATCCATTATTTTTATGGTCAACTGACACCTGTCAAAAGAAGGTATCTGCTGACCAGTATCACGTGACTATATTGCAAGTTCAAGTTTTGAGCTCATCAAGATCACGTGCTTGTTTGAAGTTAACAGCTGACCAAGTACAGGCTTTTCAATTGGATTGCAGGCTCAAACCAGGTTAACCTTCTGTAATCAGTGCCGGGTTGTTCAGAACTGAGCCAGTTTATGCTAACCCAGGATTAAATGTTAACTGAAGTTTAAGTTTTTCTTTTATAAAAATGTTTTTCACTGCTTATGTTTTGTGTAGTTTGAGATTATTCAAACTCAGAAGTCCTAACAATGTAAGCAGGAAACCTCCCCACCATGTTTAAAAACTCAAATCAAAATTCTTGCTTATCCGAGTTAGCTTCATCAGGCTCTGAGCAACCTGGCCCAGGAACTCCACTTTTAGGCTTGGCTAAATATATGTATTATGTACGCTTTAAACCAAGGCTGCATGCCTCGCTCAGCCACCATGTTGCATGATGTCGTCGTTTCTTGTAGGGCGCACACGCCCGCAATCCATGCCGCTAGCCATGTTGACCATGAAATAAAAGTTGCATGGTTTTCTATTTCTATGCATGCATGTGTTTCTGTTCCTATAGTTATGAGGCTCGGCTTGGCGGCCCTTCAGGCCGCTGGAGCTCCGCTATAATGCACTGCAAACTCAGTACTAAATAAATGTACATCATGTATGCCAATGAATTGTGTCTCTGTTGATGCCAGGCAATATTCCAGTTTTGACAACAATTATATTTGGGAATGGAGTAATGATGCTGTTGACATTATATTTACAACTTTTCATTATGTAAAGGCTTTAAGTAGAAAATACAAACTTACATAATCATTCAGATTCTGTTATAATTTATATTGTCCTGCCAAGGAAAGCACCTTTCAGTGAGGCCAACTTTAAACTCCCCAAATGCCTCTTTCCCTCTGTCAGCTTGCATTTTATGATTTGAACAATGTCTGTTGTTCTGTTCCTGGATTATCCAAGAGTCAACCGGTACAGACCAGATCTCTCGGTCTCCCATGTGGGTCACAAAATCTCCTGGAATGGAAGGAAAGTGTTTATTTTGACTGGCTTTTGGCCTTTTCTCATGGGAAAATTTTGGAACATTTGACACATTTTTGTAGCTGAATTGGAGGAGCTCTACTTTTAACAAAGTTTTTTGGGGTTGAGAAGGTAACATTGGCGATTTCCCAGATTTAACTTTTTTTCATGTTGGCATCTCTGGAATGGCAGAACTCAAAACCAAAATCAACAAATGAATATAATTTTGTAGGAAACAACTGAAGTGCTTGCAAGTGTACACAAATAATTGAATTTTGTGAATATTTATTTTGTTTAAATAATTTGCAACATAAATAATATTCTTCCTCAGTCATGACCTGATCACTTCGCTGAACGCGTAATTCCAAAAATTTGATTGATGTTAGTGTCTCAAGGAAAATTTCAGCAGAGAGAAGGAGGATGCCCCTGAGGCCCCTCACCTAAGTTTCCCAAGTTTCTCTCAAGCTGCAATTGTGTCTTCCAGTTTAGGTCTCACCAGGGCTGTAAATGCTGGGACAATTGCAAAGGCTGCGTTATCATACCCATGGATCTATTTGCCTTAGCTGTTATCAAAGGAACATGGTCTGTCCACTTTTAAGTGGTAACCCCAAGATATGGGCCACTGCTATAGTTCTGTGCGGATTTAACAATCTTGAATGTCCTGTGCGGTCATGGAAGTTAACCTGCAATGGATTAGCATCCCATATAGATCTACGTTCAGGGAGAGAGTTGCATAGATGATTGAGTGAAGGAGGAATTGAATAGCGAGAAATTGTGTCTCTCTATGTAGCCCAAAGGGCCCTTTGATTCTTGCTTCGTGCATCACGGTTGTAGTTATCCAGAATTCATTACCTACTGATTACTGAATGATGCACACAAAAAATTTTTTGGCACGTGAAAAGTTTAGTAGGCGGTATTTTCTGCACTTATTTAGCCATTTTTTTCTATTTGTGCACGTTGTAGCCCATTGCCATGGTTACCTGGAGCTGCTTTTATTCAACATCTCAAGTGAACATGTCAGAAGGAAAGCATTGGATCAGGAAATATGCCATGAAGGCCCCAGCCAGCCATGTATCAGAAAATGGCCGGTATAATAAAGGACTTTTGAAAGCAGCTCAAACTGTTTCAGACAAACATGACACTGATCTTTGTCCTGATAAAATAAGGGTAAGTGGAATTCAGCAATCATGCCCACACTCATGGAAAATATCCCTATCAAATAGTCTCAGTTCCTAGTTCACCGTGACTGTAATTAAGAGCACTAAGGATAGTAAATATACTTCCAGAAGATAACCTCGTTACAGCTCCGTCTATTCTGTAATTCTCAAATTTCAGGCACCTTCCTATTTTTCTTTAGGTTAACCCTGTGTCACTAGTGTTTGTATTCAGCAGTTGTTTGAAATTTAAAAAGGGACTACTGAATGATTTTATTAGCTGTTAACACTCACAGAAAACAAGTCCAAGTACTGTGTGAGAGATACTACCATATTATTAAACAGTGCTTTATCTATGCCTACATAACTTGTTCAGTAACCTAAATGAGGAGAAATCAAAAATCCTCTTCTAACAGGTGTAGGTAAGAGAAAATGCTTGGTGTAAGCCCTTACTTGCGTCACAGAAACGTTTGAGTTATCAATTGAGACTAACTTGGGCAGACAACAACAATATGAATATTAACCTTACCAGACTAAAACCAAAGAAATGGTTGTTAGGGGAAAGTCGAAAGACCTTTATCTTCTGTCTCATCTGATATTCATCAGGAAACATATTTAGAGATTTTCTTTGGGGTGGGTTAGGTTATTGCCATAGTGACCCTTCTAATTGGCATCAGTAAGTTGTTAGTCTCCTTAGTGGGGTGGGTAAGCACATGTTCATCTCAGCTTGCGACTGTGTTTATGTATGTATGTGGGGATGTATGTGTGTATGTGTGTATGTATGTATGTAAGAAATATGCTTATTCTTTGGATTGCCTGCACTATCTTTTCAATAGCCTAATCATGTCCCTCTTTACCTGTAGAATTTTGGTATAGGTTTCTGGGATTTACAAAAAGTATCTTGTAACGGTTGACCAATTCCAAAATAGAAAATAGCCTTTCCAACAGAGGCTGCACCAGTTACAGAACTGTTGGAAACTTCAGATAGCAGAGTGTGGAGAAGTGTTGCCGGTTCTACTGACGACCATTGGCAGACCTTTTGCCACCTACGTGATTTATTCTGTTATGGAACACAGATCATACTTATACCGTTCCCTGAATTCGTACAGAACAGTTCAAACACTGCTTCATAAAAAGACGTCTTTTAAAATATATTTGATGCTTTTCACCAATTTTAGATAATTTAAAATTTATAGGTAAATGCAGTATGTACACCACAGTGTTTAAATTATTATCTGACATCAGACTATGTAACCATGAGTGTGCTCACTACGGATTTTGGTATTTGGGAAAGAACGGTGTCCTTCGATAGCTGGTGGGAAAATATATATCGCCCAGTAGATATCTGTTGCTTACAGAACTCTGTGTTATAACACTTGAAAACTGGTCCAAAGTGAAATTAATGTTAAGCTTGTCTTTTTTGCCCCAGTCTATGCTCAATTCAGAGGAGGGAGAGAGTCACTTTACAGAAAGTAGAGAGCAAGGTACATCTCAGAGAGACTGGATGCAAGGCCAAGGTGGATCCATCTCGATACAGAATACAGAAGAGCTGGTATTTGTGAACGAGAGGGTGTCAAGTAACCACAAATTTGATACATCTAATGCGGCCTGGGCTCTGGGGAGTGTAATATTTCTATGTGTGGTCCTTGGTGGTGTCTTGCTGTACACACGCCCTTGGCAAAACAGAGATCACTGGTGGAGAGGGGAAGACTATAATAGTAACACTAAATTCAGTCTTATGAAAACTAGAGGCCATCGCTGGAAATCCAGAACGTTTCCAAGCAAAAAGACTTCAGGCTATACACGTTTGTTAAATTCCATACCGGAAGAATTTGAAGATGACATTTAATGCCGATGCATAAACATAAATGAAAGTCCGATAGTTGATATGGAGAGTCAGTCATGCCACACACCAGTGGGACATTTTTGAATTACAGTTAAGGGTGTGCTAACAGAAGATTCCACTCTATTTCTGTATAAAAGCCTGGCAGGTACAGGGAATGCCAAGACGGTTTTTGTTCCATTTTACAAAATGTTACAAAACTAGTGATTCACAGTGAAAGAAAACGGATATTTCCATCGATTCACATGCAGTGAGAAGCTAGCAACAAAAGCCATCTGATTACTTCCATACGGCTTCCACACCAAAAGTCTGAGAAAAATCTTGCGTATTTTCTAGCCTCAGACCATTTGCAACAAGGATTTGCGTATACAGTGCGAACCACAATACATTGGTACCATCATCATGCAGAGACAATGGCGATGGATAGGTCATGTCATCAGGAGGGAAAGAGACTCCGTTTCAAAGACGGCACTCCACTGGACACCAGAGGGTAGGCGCAGCGGGGCAGACCCAAAAATACATGGCGACGCACTGTTGAGACAGTTCCTCAAGACAGCCAAAAGCTGGCCGAGGACAGACAGCTATGGATGTCCTTTGTTGCTGCCCTGTGTGCCAGTGGGCATGACGGGCAGTGAGTGAGTTAGTGAATGAGTTGCGTGAACAGAGTGCTCGGACAGTAATAAAATAAAATGCTAAAAACAGCATGTTACAAATAGCTACTAATGCTTGAGTCTCCAAGGTCTACATCCCAGTCCCCTTAAAAATAAATAAATAAATTTATAGATTAATTAATTAATTACTTAAATAAATAAATAAGGTATCTTGAATCTGTACAGCATGGTTGAAACTCGTATTTCCAAAATCAATAGCACCAAACCCCGTCAATGGTCGTCAATTCATTGTCAGTTTTGTACCTGTCCTTCGTAGCCAAAATTGATTAATCCACAAGTTGCCTTCACAGGAATTTTACATTAGTAACGTAAAGAATGGTTGCACAGGAATGTACTGAACTCACTGACCAAAGTCACTTGGACACGAGGCAGTTGGTCACGTGAACACGTGGCAAAAACACAACAAGACAAGGACAATATTTGCAATTAGAAAATAATCCAAAGCAAATACGCAAGCTGATTTGTTTAAAACCGTGTTTCTATAACTCAGCGATAGCAACACAGAACTAGTACAAGCTGTTGATGTAATTATGGCGCGAGTAAAGAGAATTTCCCCTTTTATGGTCGAAGTAAACAAGTTTTTCCTTTTTTCTGTTACGGTATTTTCTAAAAGAAATAGAAAACATGTTCTCCGTGTTTCTATTGAGTTGAAATAACACTCGTGAAAGATTGGGAGAACTCGAAAAAGCTGTGGAAACACTCGCCTGTCGGCTCCCGTCCCATAGTATTTCTTGTTCTTCCAAACTTTCACTCGTGTTTCTATTAAACAATTAGATTATGAGCTCGAGATTTCTATCGCGTGATAGTTGACGAGGGCTGCGCCCTCGTCAACTATCACGCATAGAAATCGAGGGCGAGTAATCTAATTGTTTTAGTATTAGCGTGCGTAGCAGGCGTATAAAGGGGAGAGGGTGGGGGGAGGAGGAAGAGAATTCGGGGATAAAAAACGGAGGAGTATCCTCCACCCCCTCCCCTTTATACGCCTGCTACGCAGGCTATTTTAGTATAAATCTACTAGTCGTGAAAATCTTTATCTAAATCCTCTTTACAGACACTGAAAACGTCAAGAAGCGGCCGTTATTTTGTTAACAAGGGTACACTGCTACGCTACTCACTATCTATCACAGAATAGATAGTGAATAATGATGTCAGGATCTGTCAACCATATCAGTAGCAAAGACAAGTCGTCTCTATTAAACTAAATAACATAATGTTGAAATACTAAAACAAAAAAACGATTTTCGTGGAAGTAGAGGAAATACTCGGTTGGAAGGCTCGGCTGGGAGATGAGACTGCTATCTGCATTATAAGTCACTGTCTCCTGTTTAAATGAACAGTGTTCGAGTTTCATTAACATCTCGAACGTGCAACTCACTAAAAGCGGAGTCTGGGAATCAACAGTTATTCCCTCGCGACACGTGTGGTCGGCAATAATATTCGGCACCATATTTAAATCAAACTTGTCAAACTTTTTTTATTAGAGTCGACGAAAATTAGTATTAGATTCGGGGGCACGTAAAAGGTGATATTTAAACCAGGTCTAAAGTGTGTCGGAATTTCTTTTATTCTTTATCACATCTTTCCGCCTTCACACGATAAATTACATCTTTTTTATCATCCCGCGATTCATAATAGCGAATACAGTAATAATCTGGTTTCCGCAAGCCTATTTCGTTTCCTTGATTATAGCAATTTCGTTCAAAGCTCTGAGGAATATACATACATACGTAACTTTATTTTGACTCGAATTTACAGGTAGCTAAAAACTTGAGCAAACTTGATACTGATACTGACAGCGAAGACTGATGGTGACGAGGACGAAACATGGAGACATGGACAAATGGTCTACATATATATGATTATAAATAAAATCATGCTTCTGTTTTTAACAAGTCAGTTCAAGCGTTCAGTTGATATTGTTTATAAGAAATGAAATTGATTTTAAGAGACTTAGAAGCAACTCGACTCTCTTTTAAAAGGCTTCCGCCAAAACTGAACAGGGTAACATTTTCACTTTACATACCTTTACCCCTTTGTCCATGGCTCTTTTTTCTTTTGTTTTCGTGCTTTTTTCCGCCTTTTTCTTTTGTTTTCATCTTCATCGTCCTCATCGTCATCTGTACCACTCGTGTCGATACTGTCTTTGCTGTCAGTATCAGTGTCAAGTTTGCCTAATGCGAAATGAAATGGTTTAGTCAGAAGAACTGACGTGACACTTCAGTGTATGTGGCCAGCAAAGAGGGTCGGAAAGGGGATTTTCCGTGAACCATGAACGCCCATTTTTAATTACCGTGATTGGTGAGTAGGGGTAAAGTGGGTGTGCTGAGGATGGGAGATAAGGAGGTAGTGACATCACAATACCCCAGGAGTTGACATCATCAAAAATGATGTCATCATAATCTAAGAAAAAGAATAGTGACATCGTTAGCTTGGGGGCGTTTGCGCAAGGGCGTAAGGGCGTTCGTGACATAGTTTTCCATTTTATTCAGATGATGACATCATCTTCTAAAATAGAATAGTGAGGTCATTGTTACGACGTATAGGGAGGGAGATTTAATAATAGATAAAATGGCGTAATATAATTATTTTTAACTACAGCGGTCGATCGTGAACATGGGTAGTACTCTCTCTCCACCTGAAATCTGCTATCATAGGTATCGCCTTACAGCAAGAACTATTATTGTTCCCTCGAATAAAATAGTATCTCTTATGAAAGAATTTTCCGATCTACCGGGATCTACCATTTACATTCGGAAGTCTGGTGGTTCTGCGCTAGGGTGCATGCTTGGGGGCGTAGGGGGCACTAAGGGGCGTTCATTACACCATAATCCAGGAGTGACATCATTCCCCCACCAGGAAGGTGACATCACCGGAGTGAAGTGGTGTTTGCGTAGGGGTGTAAGGGTGTTCATGACATCACTTTTACCGCAGAGTACGTAATCTCCTCGTTCGGAAGATGACATATCCTGTATCATCGGGGAGAGAAGCTAAAAATAGATTGGATGACGTGGACATGTGGTAGAGTAGTTTTAGGGGATGACATCATGAAATGGAACCCGTGTCCTATTTGGCCTATTATTGAGTAGAATAGGAAGAAACACATTTTAGCAGGGTAATTTCATAACAATAAAATAAACTTTCTATTACTTAATTTTCGTATCTGGGAAACAATAATTATGTAGGCGACATGGAAGTTGCTTTTCCGCGTTTGGACCGTCAATTTGTATTTACACTGAATAGACACTAAGCAGAAAAGAAATTTCCTTTGGACATCATTACTATCGGCTTTAGCGTCTTAGGCCAGAGTTTATTTGAATCGTGATTTCATCTTATACGCCTCAGTCATTATAAGAATCTAATATATAGATTTAAGCCAGCCTAAAAGCGTAGCTCCTGGGCCGGGTTGCTCAGAGCCCGATTAAGCTAACCCAGGAAAAGGTGGAATTTTGATTTGAGTTTTGTAACTTTGCGATGAGGTTTTCTGTATATTGTTTGGTCTTCTGTTTTGAGTTTTAATAATTACCATATATACAAAACAAAACAGCAAAAAACATTTGTATAGAAGAAAAAGTTATAATTTGGTTAAATTTTAATCCTGGGTTAGCATTAACCGGCTTCCGAACAATCCTGCCCTATTTTCAAAAGTTAACCTGACACGAGCCCGCGCTCCAATCGAAAACCAGCACTTGGTCAGCGGTCAACTTCAAAAAAACGATTTTCATGTCTATCTCCGGCTTACAGATTCGATTTTAGTTTCATATGAACTTATATATAAGGGCCAATTTACACGGCCCTTATATATTTACAGTGAATCTAGTGACATGGCGTTATCTGTTTGAGAACTTTCCCTTAGCTGTATATGAAAAGCTGTTCAAGTTCAAGATAAAAACTTGAAAAAATCGCATCAAAAATCAACTTCGTTATTACATGACAAACGAGCTAGCCTGGTTAACCGAGATCCCGATAGCGCGATGCCGGGATCTTGCGGATCGGCTAAACGGGTTGTTTGAAACTTTCATATTTTTGTAGCGAGGCTCCGGGGAATAACTACAGAGTTTGTGGGGTCTATTCCCTCGTGCCGAGGTCTATTGTTTTAGGCTGAATTTTGACATATCGAAATTGGTCTATTGAAAATTTTATGTCAACCGCCATTATCGATGCGAAGCTTTATGCTTCGTTCTTTCTCATATCACTTGATGAGACAACTTCGCGCCTGTAAAAATCAATGAAGCTAGAAAACAATGAACAAAAAGAAACTACATCCGGTGAGAATTAATAAAGAAAGGGTTTTTCACTACCGACGTTTTCATTTAGGGCGGGTTTTAAGTCCCGTATTAACATTGTTTCCTTGATTTTACACTGTAAATCACATTGACCACTTGCGAGGATCTCAAAGTGGTCCCATTTGATGTTGTGACCGGTAGAAGTTAGCTGAAGTTCAATGATCAGCAACAGCGCAGGCGTGACCAACTTGATTGAGAGCTTTGAAGTGCTCCGTCTTTCTGTCATGTAATCTTTTGGTTTTACCGATGTAGAAAGCATCACAATCCCAGCAACTGGCTTTGAAGACAATCTTCGATTTCTGAAAGCGGTTGAAACGATCTTTGTACGGAAAGAAAGACTTAATTCTGCGAGTGTTCTGAAAAATAACCCTGAAGTTGACAAAACCATAAAACTTATTGAAACGAGGTTTTAATCGGCGTGTAATAGCATCGCTATAGAAACCTAAATAAGGTAAAACAAGGACTACATCTTTCTTGGGAACTGTGAGAGTAGGTTCTGAAGGCTTGTCCTTATGTTTGTTCAGTACATCATTAACGTTGTAGTTAATAACAAAATCCACTTTACTGCAGTCGACTCTATCTGATCTGAAGAATTCCTTGCTTCAAAATGGTTATCCGAGAGGGGGACGAGACGTCATGGGGACGAGAATGAACGTGATGCCAGTGCAAAGAAAGGCATACTGGTCCATGCTGCCATGTTCCAAATGCCTTTTCTACGATAACTGCAGAAATTGTCGCGCGCTCATTGGCTAATTTTTATTGTCAGTAAGCGGACAGACACATGAATTTATAATTTATGCGATGCGTCAACGAGCGAGAACGGACAATTTGACAATAGACCACTTTCGATATATTAAAATTCAGCGTAATACAATACACCTCAGTACGAGGCTCCGGGGAATAAACCCCACAAACTCTGCAGTTATTCCCGGAGCCTCGTACTGAGGTCTATTGTTTTAGGCTGAATTTTATTATATCGAAATTGGTGTATTTGTTATCGTAAAAAACAAATTGTTGTCGGTTTTTAATGCGCCTGTCCTGTTATTGACAATGAATTTCGTCATAACATTGTCAAAGTAGTCTGCGGATCCACTCGGCTATCGCCTCGTGGATCCACAGCTACTTCATGATCAATAACAGGACAGACGCATGAAAACCTGACGTCAATTTGTTAATTTGAGTAGATTGCAGCTTATTTGGCACATATGCAGGCTGAAAATGCTCAAATTGTCCAAAAATGCGTTTTTGGCAAAAAGCTCCGGGAGTCAATGGGTCACAGCTGCTTTACCGGTAGTTGTGTTTTAGTTTTCAACTGCGATGATCAATCATGTCTTCATACAAATATTTTGTTTATACGAAAAATACGAACAGTTGCTGATAGTGTGTGGCATCGGTAAAAAGGCCCAATACAATTTTGCGAAGCGAACACCTCAAAGCGGCTGTTAACGCCGGCTGTTCTTTCCGCGTCTTTCTCTGTGCGTGTTGCCACATCCTCGGAGACCCGGTCCCGAGTTCAAATCCTCGGTCACGTTTTTTAAATGGCCAACTGGTCTGCTTCCTACCAGTTGGGATTTTTAACTATGTTGTTTTTATTTTAAAATTGTTTCCTCTGTTTCAGTGGCATGCCTGTAAACTAGCTAAGCTTAGTGTTTGTATAGCTTAGTGCATGACCACTATGAATTTCAATACAATTTACATTTACAACCTTGCCGGGGTAGGGCTGGGGCTAGTGTTCTTCCGTGTAGGAGGGGCCGAGTGCATGTTGGGAAATCAAGAGTACAACTCTCTTGCATGGTATTGAGAATTTCGAGACGTTAAAAAGTTATAAGGTCCGTCTTGATCGTTTTTTTTTTTCGTTAGTTTTGTTGTTCTTGAATTATAGATTCCAATTCCTTCTATATGTGGGTAGATATCATTTAAGTGTATGCCTCTAGTGTTAAAAAAAGGTTAAAATGCGTAATTAAATCCTTTCCAAGCTTGAGACCTCCGCAACTTTGCTCTTCATCTCACGAGACATTTTCAATATACAAAAGAGAATATTGGCTTTCGAACACTCTTACTGAACAATCCATAACCAAGATTTTGCATCAGGTTTAACTGAAAATGATGTTGTTCAAGCCCACTTTCCCCTTGGCACCTCGATCCGACAATCTTGTTAAACGATGAAACAGCAAATTCTCTCTAGTTCATCAGTAGGACCAAGAGTAGCGCGGGAGCCGAGCTACGCAGGATCCTATGAAAGGAAAGGAAAGGAAATAACAGCAGTCGCTTCCTTATGACTGCCTAGAAACCTTTCCATGGTCAATGCCACGATCAGTGAATTAGGTTTCTTGTCTGTTGTTTAAAATCGTGCACGCCATACACGTTTTCTCTGCGAATATGTTGCTGTGAAACTCATGGAACGCCAAGTGCGAACTTTCCTCAAGTATGAGTTTTACGAAACATCGCAAAGGTCGTGGAGGAAGCGGCAGGTAATTATTTTTGAAGTTAGAAAAACTTCTATAAATTGCTTTTAACATTCTGTTATTTTATTACATAATCGGGCCGTTACGTTTCGCTCGATGAAGAAAAATTTTTTCAGTGTTGAGCAACTGGGAATTTATTATTGCCCATGATGCAATGTTTTGTGAAGACGAATTACAACCTGCCTTTTCTTCGTAGTTTTCAACTTTTTAAAATTGCTAGTGCGTGTAATGTAGTTGTTGTTTAAGGAAGCGGTTAACGATTAAAGCTACTTAAATGATTTTTGCGCTCTAGACTTCACCAAAGTGAAGTTTTGGGAAAGTATTATTTGTGATCAATCGATATAAAGACAACACATTCGATTCCTACAATCAAACCTTTTTCAGTTTAGTTTATGGTGACCATTCGGTTATCGTGATTTCTCTTTTACACTTGAACTTATAGCATTAAACGAAAAAATTAGTGGAGAAGTTCAGTGTGGAAGGACTAAATTATGCGGACAATCTGGAAACGTGTCTTATCCAGCTTATATCATACAGGCCGGCCGGTCTTTGGTGCTTGAACTGGGCGATCATAAAAGTGTTCTCTGCGTTCATCACTGGTATTTCCGGGAGTTTTTGTGGCTACGGGTTATAGATTTAAAAGACGTAACATGTTCAAGATCATTTACATCAATGCAAAAGCTAAGTGAAGAGCTTTAGTTGTGTAAACCCGGACGACAGCTTTACAAATTTCCCCACTATGTTTAGAATCTTCATTACCAGGAATGATCAAGTAGCTAATTTTCATTAAGCTTATATCTTGATTCTGTGTTCTTCAGGGGTCAAAGAAATTACAGACCAGGCTCCAGTGCAAGTCCACCACCACAGACAATTAATTTTCCCAATGTGAGTACGATTTTTAAATTGAAAATTCATTTACTTATGAGTGCTTTTCAATTGGTACTTGTTTTTAGGGCTGATTATTGTAAAAAGTGTTGTGCTTATAACTGTCATAAACCTAAAATGATAAAAGCCTAAGAAGCAGACACGACAGTGAGATTGGGAGTCTTGTGAGGGAAACGTTAGAAATATTTGTGAGAGTCATGGCAGAATCATGATTTCAAGCTGGCAGGTCTGTTACATCTGCAATAATGGGCGATTCTAGAAACAATCCATACCTAACCATGGATGGCATCCATACTTTAACCCCCCCGTCCCCCACTTTGGCTTTGGAAATTCAAAATTGCTCTACCCTCTCATACTTTCTAATCGATGCAGTCATTAGGCAGGGGTTGTAATAATTTTTGGCTCAGAAGGGGAGTTTCTTGGAAGGCCTGGAGGCCCTTCCCAACTAGGGGGGTCTGGGGGCATGCTCCCCTGGGAAATTTTGAAATTCTAGACTCTCACGGATGCATTTTCCTGTGTTTCGAGGCCTATTTATTATGTTGCGTTGTTGTTCCTAGAAGTCAATCAATTAGAAAGACAAGGTTGATAATGTGTGGTATTTTAATTCTTCGTATTCAAATCAATTCATGAACGGTACATCATATTTCACCACGAAAAGAAGCATAATATTAAAGTTTAAACACCAAAATGTGTCCCTTTCACTATACCCAACTAATCCTTTGTAAGTAGTCTTTCTTTCTTTTTTTTCTGTTGTGTGTAAAAATGTAGTATTGGGTTGTAAGTAGTGTAAGTAGTGTACTGTATTTTTTTTTGTAAGTAGTGTAATTGTTAATAAATAAATAAATAAATAAATATATATATACCCAACTAACCTTGCGAAGAATCATTCTTCTTTGACCTCTTTTGTTTTGACGCTGGCATGAAATATGCTAATAACGATTACATTTATTCATGCTTAGTCCCAGTTTCCTCTCGATTTCAGCTGAATGTTAGGCTACACTTTCCTTTATCTTTTGTGGTCCAAAAGGCTGGGTTAACACAGTGACTAGAAAGTTGTTTCTTTCACCTTTCTTTTTCGTTACCTATAACAGAAGACTTATTTCGCCAAATTTCTTGAAGAGAATCCTTAGCTGCGAGGAAATTATCTGGTCTTAGTTATTTGTGTATGGCTACCCAGGACAACTACAAGCGGGTAGTCCGCTCATTACAAGCGGGTAGATCTACCCGTTACCCAGCTGTTATTGAACCCCTGCGTTAGAGCAAGTAGCTGACCGAAACAGCTAGGTACTGGCCAATCTTTCATCTCACTTTACCATTTTAATTAGGTCCGATAACAATATTTAATTTATTTTTTAAAATCATACAAAAACTATGTGCAAAGAAATACATACATGTACAAAATGTACAGCATAAAAAAAGTTGTTCTATCTTTGTAAATTTCCTGTCAGGGATTTTGGATTATTTATGGACCATTTCTTGAAATCTGAGAGATGTTCCTTGGAAATGAGGGACTGGTGCCAATTTTCGGCCTTTTATCCAATGGAAGTACAATAAATGTGTTTCTAATGCAAGTGGTAAGAAACATAGATTTTTGAATATTTTTTTGAAATTTCAAATATACCCATGTAACCCCTAACCCATAACAGGCCAGGTGTAGTAGTAACGGTAATAGTTTACTTAATGTCAAAAACGTGGGAAGTGTATGCACAATCTTCCGAGCCAGAGGCTCATGTTAAAAACGCTCGACAACAAATAAATAAGATCTAAGAACTAATTACAAAAATGAGGTATTAAAATGCTAGTAAAACTTTAAATACTAATCCTTAAAAGAGATTTACAAGCAGGGGTTACAAGTGCACCCTTTAAATTCCACTTTATACCTAAAGCATTTATGAGAACGAGCAATGGTCTCACATTGTTTAACACAGTTTGGCAAATTGTTCCGATAGTGTGAAACAATATAAGAAAATTATGTAGATAACGACTATTATACGAAAATTGCTGCACATTACTATTAGATCTTAAATTATAGTATGTGATGCATAGCTTGAAAAAGATTGAGGTGTATGAAGGAGCGAGACCATTAATTGACTTAAGAGTGGCTGCCTGTAAAAATAAGACAAATTCATAATTTCGCGGCAAGGGTCGAAAATTCGATTTTGCTCATGTTCCTATGGTAGATAGGCTAGGGCATGACAAAAACTACTGGATAGTTTTTTGGCAAAGTATCCTTTTATTTCAAAGAAATATACAAATTACCAAATTCCGTTAAAATCGTCATTTGACGCACCATTTTGTTAAACAAGTTTGAGNGTAAACAAGTAGTTCCACTTATTCCATCCAAATGTAAAACAATGAAATATATTACCCTTCTGTTTCCCAAAGTCTTGAGGCGTCTGTGATTTATGTTGTTTTCAAACTCAAGCAGTCCTGTCGTTGAATTTGTGGTCACCGATGGAGACATTTTAAACTTCTGACGATTCAAAGCAATGAATATTGGCTTTTAAAAGTACAATGGCTCCTGTAGAACCTGCACTGGACACATGCCAAGTCTGTCCTAGCTTTCGATGGGAACTCTACTCCCATTGTCTCGATTTGTCAACTTGCATAAACACCAGAAAGTGAAACAACAATTGCAAATGGGTTTCGTTATTTGTACTTAATTACAAAGCTAGATTTTCGACAAACATAAAAGAAATGATAAGATGCAGAACTCAAGACCAAGCTCAAAATCAAATACGACTTACCTTTAAAACTAAAAGCAGGGGAAACCAGAGACCATGGTGGCTAGTGCGCCGTATGACACAAGACCAGGTGACTGACTCTCGTAGACAAAAAAATGAAGAAATAAATCAGCTCGTGGCATAGTGTGGCTATACACCTCGTGTAAGCCACACAAAAATTGGTGAGGGTGAGGAAAAATAACGACAAAATAAAAAAGCAACAAAGTATAAAAGTGGCAGAAAGAAACACCTGATGCTCTACTTTGCATAAAAAAATTATCAATGAGCTTGTGCTTTTATTGATAAGACCATTTCTAAGCCTGCATGGGGCAAACAACACTACAATACTTTTAAAGCTTTTCAACCCATTAATAGAAATTACAAAATAGCAAAATACAAAGATATGTTTAGAACCCACACAAGAAATTTCTCGGACCATAATATCTGCATGTAAACTATCAATTCCCAGTATCCACCCTGCACTAGACACATGTTCACATTGTGGACCTATTTTATATTTTGTATTTGGGATGTTCTTTTAGTGTCCGCAATTAGCTAATATTTAGCTAAAAACTGACACTTATATAAAGTTCATTCATTCACCCACTCACTCGCTCACTCACTGACTCACTGACTCACTGGCTCACTGGCTCACTGGCTGCCTTTTCCACTCACTCACTCACACTCACTCACTCACTCATTCATTCATTCATTCATTCATTCCATCTCTCATAAAGTAACAAAACGTTTTCTATAACTGACCTTTTGTCACCAAAAAGGCTCTCAGGCATTTGGAAGGGTAATGTGACCAGGAAACTTCCCAAATTCAGCAGATTTCATGGCATCTTATAAAACTTATACAGTTTTTCGTGTTTCTGGTTGTTTCAAGTCTCAAGTTAGGTAACACTCTTCACCTTCAATAATGTGTTCTCATTTAAATGGGTTTTGAAATCGATATTAAGTTGAAGTGGTTTCATTGAATATCAAACCAAAAACACTACAATCATTGCTGGCAACAGAATAAGACCATGCTATTATGTGACAATGTTATAATTAAATTGGTTCTTGTTTAAAAATGAGTCTGAAAAGTTATCCAGAATCAACACCAATCTGCCGTTTACCATTAGCTACTATTACAGACTCCATGATGTTTAGCTGTCTTGCTAGGAATAGTTCCATGTAGTTCTAATAAACAAAGCCACTGACTGACTGTTAAAACCAAACCGTGATAAAAATAATGTTAGCTTGATATCACAGTTCCTAAGGTGAAACTAATTCTATTTTCTTTTTTTTTTTTTCACTGTACATCGTAGCCAAACAAACTAGTTGGATTAACCTTATCATAACTGTTAAGAGTCCACTTTAGTGCCGCTACCTCTGGGGCTTTTAACCCATTGACGCCTGCATAAAATTGGCTGCGACCCACCCCTAATTCCCTGGCGTTTTTTGGAATATTTCAGAGCGAGTGAAAGCACAAAAATAAACCATATGCACAGTAACCACAGACACGAGATCAGGTTTCAAAACATCGTTTATTTAAAGTTCAATAAATGAAGGGCCAAAATATTAAAAGATATCAACAAAAGAACTCAACTTGATGTGTAAAACTGATAAGAAAACAAGAAATTATATTTTTTTCTTTGCTGTGTAACAAAAGCTGAGAAAATTGAATATGCAAAAATGAGTTAATTTTTGACTTCCGAGGACAAAATGAAACCAAATGCAACAGAATTTCCACTCTTTTGCCATAATGGATAACATTATTTTGAGAAAACACCAGAAAATAAAGGTGAAAGAATTATGAAAATACCAATTTAAAAAGAAGAAATCAGATAATTTCTTCGCTGCGCAATGAAATAATACAGTGCAGTGAAAGAAAGATGAAAGTTGTACATCAAAAAGACGACAAAATAACAAGCCAATTATTTTGAGATAAATCGTATTTTAACTGTGTTACAGTAATTTAGTGCTCACTTAGTTCTTTTCTCATGAGTTCTGTAGTAGCTGAATACGACTCAAAAAAGTACATTTGAACGAAGCGAATAAAGTAAACAAACAAACCACAGGGTCGCCGTAAATTAAATTAGCAGAAATCCAGCGTGCAAAAATACTGTTCACTTTTAAAACCTAAAATTCCCAAATAAAGGCAACCAAATGAAAGAAACATGACAGGAAGTTCAATAACAATAAATTTTCATTCAAGATGAGGCAGAAAAAAGAAGAACTTATTTAAAAGCGTAACAATGTTCAAAATTTCACAGATGTGCTTTGCTGCAGGACCGCATGTTGAAATTAATTCTTCACGCTAAAGCGAAAGCTTGAGTTTTTGCTGACAAGTTTTGCAGTTATTTTATCGGCCATGGCTTTACCAATTGTTCTAAAAGTGGAATTCAACTTCGGTGTAATACTGTACAGTACCATTTTTGTTTTCTAAAGTCCAGGAAGCTGCTTTAAATCCATGATCTGTATTCAAAACTCACTTGAAAGCGCACCGATCGTCATGGAAAGGTTTGAGGACTCTGTATACCTTGATCTTCCATTCTGAAGCCACCTAAACATCGATTTATGTTTTTCCATTCCATTTTAAGTGTCAAGGAAGAAATTTCTCCGTTTTAGGAATGAAAACAAGACCCTGGAAGTTTGGAGATTTGGCCCGCAACGCACCATGAGTGCATGATTTTAAGACGAAAAACCATCTTTCTAGGACCAGTAAAGTCCTATAAAAATATGCTCAGAAAGTCGATTCTCGTTGGTTTATTTGTCCTTAACAACAATAGAACAATAGGAGATCCAAAAAGTCTGCAGGGAGGGTAGGAAAGGCAATTGTCCTCACATGCTTTTTTACAGCCAGTTACAGCCGGCACAGGAAATTGGGGGTGGGTTTTTGACTGGCCTGTTATGGCCGGCACAGGAGTCAATGGGTTAAATCACATAGATAATGCATGCCTTGTGTGCCTATGTTTATTTTTTGTAAGCAGTAGTCCTACTTGCTGGATTTTGTGTCCTTATTCATATTTATTAAAGGGTTTGTTATATTGCAGGGTCTGTAAATTTTCTGTAACTTTGAGTGGGCTTAAGAACATTTCTTGTTACACTGGGTACTTTGTCATGAAGGGTTTTCTTTACAATTAAAAGTGGTTCGTCAAAAGAAAGTATTTCTAATAATTCATTTCTTTGTTATAGTTTGACTGTACTTTAGGTGAGGCCCATCTTGTGCAACGTAAAAAGAGCAATGGACTTATCAATGAGGTACTTTTTAATAGTGTTTATTTTATCTTTTTCACCTGCATTTTTCTCTTACATTGCATTTTTAAACTCTAGTTGTGTTACTAAGGAAACGTCTGTTGATAAGGTGGAAATAAGATACTTGCAACATGTAGGGACAATATTGTTTGAATACCTGATCAAATTCCTAGAACAAACATTGTGAGGTTGCATCTCACAGTAATTTCATATGTTTTTGTTTCTTAGGATGAGCAAATTGTACCAAGCAGAGAAAGGCTGATTAACAATCTCTTAATAGCACGTAAAGATATTGTGAGTGTGAACATCACTAAGACTGAAGAGCCTGAGATCGGTAAGGCCTGTGTGTTAAACTCAGTAGCAATATGTGCTGCTTTGACTTGTCAAAATATAATCAGTGTTTACAGAACCTTTCAGTAAAAATAGTGAACTTTTGTATGCACCACATTTGGTTACAGATTTTGTTTATCAAAATAAACCTGGAACAGAAGGGTGAAACCTTATTTGCACATATGCAGGAATGTTTGAGTAAAATGTTGCCCTTAGTAATAATTATCAGAGAAAATTAATTTCCATTTAGCAAGTAATATGTAAGTACGAACAAGAAATTTTCACGTAGCTGGAAGTTTAAATTAATAAAAGGTTTACTTCTTGCCTCTTGCATTGCCATACTGATTTGGAAGTATCAATCCCACAGATGGCTTCACAGATGAGGCCATTGCTGCTGCACAGAAGCACACCAATGGTCAGATCATGGAGCGGCAACTCCAGGTACATAATTTCATTCCTTCAGTTACTTACTAGATGTAGGGACCTTAAGATACAATGACAGGAAGGCCAGGACAGGAATGGCAGTGGATGCAGGAAACTTTTGTGGGTCCTGTCATGTCACCAAAGACAGAATAGTTAAGATGTGTATTTTCTTACAGGACTGCAACATCAATAACTTGAGCTTCTTAAAAGCTACTCACAAAAGCACTGACATCCTTTAAACTAGAGAGATGGTAGAAATCTTATCCTATTATGGTAAGCTTAAATAATGGTGAACAGCCAATGCTCAATTTAAACTTCTTTCTAAGTGAAGCAAACATCTCTGTCAGTACTTCGTAAAGAAACCAGAATTTCTGTATGAAGAAATTAAACAAACAATCTGATCAACCTGCTTCAGATGGCTTTTTGCCACCAGAGCATTTGAGAATCCTGATTTTGGGTGAATATTTCAATTCCATCTGTAATTGTAACAAGCATTATAAAAATAGGTACCCAAAGGGTACATGTGTGGGATAAGTGGATCCAAAAGGCAATGCAATCTTTGCAACTCATTTGCATTAATGGACATGAGCCGATGACAATAGTGTGGTATTCCACAGGTATCCCATACAAAAATAAAACAAACATCAAGATCCAGGTAATATAAAAAACACCTTTAAACATCAGTTTGAAAATGTGCATTTTATTTGCTTGAAAGATGCTTTCATGGGACTCATTCTTACAAAATTTTCTTGACTGTACTTACCCTGATGTATTCTCTATGCATACCGTTTGTATTTTGTTTTGCACTTGAGCACTAGAGACGGCAACTGAAAGTGACTGAAACACAAACAAACAGATAAGAAATATTTTTATTCACATTTTTTCGTTTTTCAGCGCAATATTTTATGCTATGATCATGAAATATATGAACCTAATAGCTTTCTCATCAATATAACTGAAAAAAGGTTGATTGGTAAATTTGTCAGGGCGAAGCAAGAGCAAAACACTCACGCTTTTAATACAACGGCAAGTTGGGCAAAATGGCATCCTCGACAAGACGAGGATGGCAGGCAGAGAGATCATTAAATGAGTCGAGAGTTCTTGTGTGCATGCCTGGTTGTTGAAATCTACTTCCGATAGCCATCCCAGCTTGTCCTGTAGTGGTATCGTAAGGTCCCTGCTACAATTTTTTTTTTTGGTTTAGAATCTTAATTTAATTAAACCCTTTGGAACCAAGGTCTTGTCTTTTAGTTGCAACACAAAATTGTACCATCAAATTTTATTTCTTGTGTATATAGAGTTCTGCACAAAGTAGAGTGTCTAAGAAGACATGTCTAAATATTTTTATCATCGTCATCATTATCAGTTCTAGTTCTAGCATTACAGCATGTACGTAAGGCTGCTACCCTCTGTTTCCAAGCCACCTTGTCACTGGCCAGCACTCTTAAATAGTACTCCAATCATTCTGTCCCAACTTCCTTCTCTCTGCTTCTTGTCTTCCTCTAGGCCATTCTTGGTCTCCTCAATGCCTTTCAACCTTCTGATCTCCATCCCAGTGTCACCATACAGGCACAGCATTCCGTATATTACATCTAATTGTATATGTAATAGCCTAGGTAAATTTACAGACTGAGTCTTGTATTATGTTGAGATTATATTAAGAAATGATTATTTATATCTTCATATTTTGCATTCTGCTTGCAGTAAAGAAGGGAGGTTAAAAGGTTTTGACTAAAGACAGTTTACATAAAATCTTTAAAGATTTGCTCTTCTTTACTAAGTAACTAGATGTCAAGAGTGTTTACTTGGGCTTGTATCATATTATCAAATCATACTTTACAAGTATCAACACAATGAAGACAAAGAAAAGAATCAGGATATTTTAAAACACAAGAGTTCACGTTGTTCTGTTTAGTATCCTCTTATCCAATTGCTTGTTGTTTGCTTCACGTCAGAAGTTCTGTTCGTGCAGATTATTGATTTTTTTTCCAACCTGTGAGGTGTTGGTCTCAGCACCATAGTTTCTTGTGAACTCAGTAGTTATAGTTTCGTCCAGGGGTTTGGGGAGATGCGGTGGCCTCATGGTTAGTTCCCTCGTCTCCGGATCGAGTGGTCCGGGTTCGAGCCCTGGCCGGGGACATTGTGTTGTGTTCTTGGGCAAGACACTTTACTCCCACAGTGCGTCTCTCCACCCAGGTGTATAAATGGGTACTGGCGAACTTAATGCTGGGGGTAACCCTACGATGGACCAGCATCCCATCCAGGGGGGAGTAGAAATACTCCTAGTCGCTTCATGCTACAGAAACTGGGATAAGCTGCGGCCTGATGGGCCACTTGGCTCATATGCAGACTTTACCTTTACCTTTACCAGGGGTTTCAATAAGTTTTTTAGCAGGTGGGCATGGTATGACAGCCAGGCAGAAAAAAATGCCACCTAGGGGTTTCTGGGTCCTACAAATTAATTGTCTACAGGAGATCATTGTATGGTTAACTAAATCATATTTTGACGTTATTGATCAACAGATAAATCAGTCTTTATAATCTTTTACTGATTACATAAAAAAGACAGTATCACAAAAATTCCTCGTCAGTATTCGATGATAAACTGGCTTTTCTTCTTCCTCAAGCTAGGCTTCCGGAAAACTGTTTGCTTCTCGGAACAGATAACGTCCGCAGACAAATATCTGTGCATATTTTCGTGCCAAACGGAGGCTATTGTGTTTATTATCCTTAAAATATTTTTCGCAACACATGCAGTTTTGAAAATTGGGGAATATTCATCACGTGAAGTGTTTAGGCCAATCGTTCAAAAATATTTGATGGATTATGAGTGGATATATTCACGCATGTGTGTCTCGTTGTTATGCATTGCCCTGAGTTTCTTTATATGAAGCATTGTTGGACAAACAAAGGACATTTTGGGAATGAAAAAGCGTGAGGCTTCAAGGCTAAAATTGCATAATTGTGAAAAACATCAATGAAAGCTTAAGTATTTTGAGTTTTTGATCGCTTTGCAAACAAACTACTGTTTATTAACGCTTGCTTGATCTTTAGCTGCCAAAAAGTTGGGAAGAAAATCGCTTGAACTCCTTATTTTAGCAAATTGTTTTCATTTACTGAATATTACATGTAATGTTTACTTTGCAGTTTATGTCTGTCAACAACTCACTGGGGCAAAGAATTATTTTGCAAGTAATCCTCACAGTTTTTAAACGAAATAATCACCTTTTGCTTTACATTGACTCCCAGTTAATTTTGAGAATAGTAAATTATGAAACTACCAGGAAGAGTTTTGTGTTTCGCACACATTGGCAACTTGCTTGTGAAATGTTTATTGTCTGAAGCACTCTGTGGCCTAGTCAAAAAAATTAGATCTTCAGTTCTATTTGACACAATCATTAATTCCAGCAGTAGAAATTCTCTTTCCTTGACGAATGAATTGTTTATCAATGTTTCTATGGCGTGCCACTCGCGTTTAGTTAATTTTTCTTCAAGGAAGAGTTTTGTGTGTCGGCACGTGTCAGCAAGTCGCTTGCAAAATGTTTATTGTCTGAAGCACTCCTATAAGATCTCTCATCAAAAAAATTATTGGTTCGCTTATATCTGAGCTGCAGTGTATACTGAAAAGAGACTTGCATGATGTGCGAGTTAACTCCTGTCCATCATTTTAAATGCAAATTAATAGCACAGAATGAACCTTTTCAATGTCCAGGAGTATGATGAAACTGAGCATGTTATTATTTTTAATTCGATGCAAACAGGTTATATATTTTTCTGCTGTTTATTTAACAAATAAAGAAGCCTAAGCCGTGTATTACACTGCAATAAAACAGGACGGGCATTTCAGAACACGAGTGAAATGTAGAAAACATGAGCTGCTGGTGAGTGTTTTCTACATTTCTCGAGTGTTCTCAAATGTCCGGAGTATTTTATCACAGTGTAATACCAGCTTAGGCTTCTTCATTTGCTTTATGATATAGAGGTAATGTGGTAAAAAACAATAAAATATGGTTCTTCTATGTTTTATACTCTGATAAAACATGGTTTTGACCATTGAGAGCATGTGCAGTGTCCTATCTATTTTATAAAGAAAAATAAAACTTGAAACTTGGACCAGGAGAGAAGAAATTGGTCATGTGCCAGGCAACCAGTGAAAAACAGCAAACCAATTGAGATGATTGTCTATAGTTGTCACTTTCTGGGACCTGTTTGGCCAGGCTGAGAAATAATTGTGTAATTCCGTCAAACTTTTTAGACGAAGAGCTAGAAATGAACATTGCCAAGTATACTGTATTTTTGAAACTATTCTGTTATTTTCACTCTAAATTTATAGTGACAAACCATGAACCTACAGTGCTGGAAATAACAGTCGGTCATTGGACATTGTCTGACCAAATTTGAAATATGTTCGGCCAATTTCACATTTTGATCAGACATGATGTCCAAATATTTCACCAACACATTTTGATTTTTTCCCTTGAAGTTATAGTCCATCCATAAAAGTCGATTAGATACATTGGTAAATGGCTAACATTTCATCTTTTGCAACAGAAAATTCTGGTTTAGTCACCTTAATGGTGACTACACTTTTCTGTGTTGAGGATCAATTATAACAGTTATTTTCTCAGACATTATGTCCTTCCAGAAAATCATGTTGAAAGATCTTTGCTTCTAACATTCGACATAACAAAAGAAGTCAATCTGTCCTTTTGCTTTGCTGTAAAGGATTCTCTCACATCGGAAAACTGCTAAATGGCTGGCTGTGTTCAAAATTGAACCCCTGACCAATGAGTATGTCGTGTATGCCTATGAATTGTGTCGCTTGTAATGCATTGATCCTTCTTAATTGCATTAGCAGACGTTATAGCTACTTATGACCACTTATACAAATTTAGTGGGCAAAAAGTCTTGGAAATGTTCTTTTTTTGTGCCTTGTAGTAAGATCTTTTTTTTCTTTACAGATTAAGAAGCTAGTCATAAAAGGGGATAAGTGACAATTTTGGTTGCTTTTTTTTTTTTTTGCTCCAAATTAGCTGAATTTCTGCATGTGGTCTTCAATGTAATAGAAAAACGTGGTCCTGTATTTTTGTCGCTGGTTTTTGCTTTGTGTTTGAGTTAAAACGTATGCAAAAAACTTGGCTTTTCCTAGCCATGTCTTTAGGAGTTTATTTGTTGAACAGCAAACAGGCAGACTGTTTATAGCACATGAAGTCAAAATCAAATCCCACAGCATATAGAGCAGAAATCTGGGAACAGATTGTTTACATCGGTTATTGTGACGTGAACGCAACACGTGAATCGATCGAGCGGCAAACGAAATACCATCGAACAAAAAAAGAGATGTGCCGCATTAGATGTCTGTCAACTAATATTTTAAGCATTGTTTTAAAGTACCTTGTATGCCTGCCTAGTGGTTGAGAGGCATCATAAAGCCTCGATAAACCCGTAAGTCATCAGCATGTTTTAAAGAATCAAAATGTGTTCTTAAACTTCAAAGGCAGCTGATATACCCTAATCGTGTTATCGGCGTNTGAGAGGCATCATAAAGCCTCGATAAACCCGTAAGTCATCAGCATGTTTTAAAGAATCAAAATGTGTTCTTAAACTTCAAAGGCAGCTGATATACCCTAATCGTGTTATCGGCGTTCGAAGTCAGGTCAAGCCAGGCAGCAAAGTCCAAGAGCAGTTCTTGCCCAAGAAAAATACCCTCTGGTTAGTTGTGGCCCATTTGCCAAGCGTTACTAGCATCAAAGTTTGGAAAGCGAGAACTAGTTTTAGAGTGATAAAATTTGTCTTGTATCGACCACCATGTTTTCCTGCGCACGAGGTGTAAAGACCCTTCCCGGCATGCATTGCAATTACGTTCTGCGGACATTTCTCGAACTGGTAACTAGATTCAAACATAATAATGGCCAACAAGTAGCGATCGATTGTAACAGATCTGTGATCCAGGTTGCATTGATTTTATTTCAAATTGGCATGACTTGTAGTGTTGAGCTTCTGGGATCAGCAGACATGCAGATGTATGGAGACCTGTACGTTGTGCAGAAGGGTTAATCAGCCCTATTTATAGAGCATTTTCACGTGAAGTCATCAAATTCTTAAATCCAAAACTAAACAGCCACCAAAGTTGTTATCCTCACCAGGCATAAGAAGTATCAGCGCATTTTGAACTTTGAAGTTATGGCGGTGCGTGACATAAAGCTACAATAGAGTTGTCGCAAACTATGCATTTATCTCGTGATTTTTAGCCATTTAAGACGTTGCAGTATTTGGAAAAGTGCTTATTGAAGTGTTTTTATTTGCTTTATTTTATTTTTATTTACCCATTTTTGGACCTGAAATCAACATTTTTAAGCTTATACGTTGCGTGAAATTACCATTATCAGGGTTCTTCCATTTTGCTGTTTTCTAAGTGAAACCAACATCCTTGCCGTCACGCGTTAACATGAAATCAACATTTTAACCTATTTAGACCTGAAATCAACATCATTGAGCTTATAGGTTGCACAAAATTACCATTTTGCTGTTTTCTAAGTGAAATTAACATCCTTGCAGTCAAGTGTTAACGTGAAATCAACATTTTAACCTATTTAGACCTGAAATCAACATCCTTGCCGTCATGCGTTAACGTCAAATCAACATTTTAACCTATTTACACCTGAAATCAACATCATTGAGCTAATGCATGGCGTGAAATTGACATTTTGCTGTTTACTAAGTGAAATCAACATCCTTGCAGTCACACGTTAACGTCAAATCAACATTTTGACCTATTAAGACCTGAAATCAACCTTGCTGTCATGCATTAACGTCAAATCAACCTTTTAACTGTTTTTGAGCTGAAATTAACATTTTTTTAAGGTTTCGCGTCGCGAGAAAAATCAACATTTTGCTGTATTTTAAGTGAAATGAACATCTTTGTGGTCGCGCGCTGAGGTGACAACAAATATAAGTTTTTTGCATACGTAATGCTCAGAAACGATGCAAACTTCAGCAAAAACACATACAAAACATTGTTTAACACACCTAAAAAATAACACATATACAGGCAAAAACTAACGATAGATAAATCCGACGTTTCGGCGACATCTTGGCGCCATTGTCAAGGGAAACTAATTAAATATGCGATTTCAAGAGTAACTAAGAGTTCAGAGCGCGGACTATTGACAACTATGCTCGATCGCGCACATCGCCTGTCTTCGTCATGGTCCTACTTCACTGAGGAGTGCGAACGACTGAAGTCTGTTTTCT